ATTTACATTTAAATTAAGAAAAAAAACACAATTGCTTTTTCTTATTTCAAGTGCATATTCTCTAATTTTGAGAGTAAAATACTAATTCCATTGGGAAATCATCTTATTTAGCTACTTAAATAAATACATTTAAAATTTTTTTGAAAGTCAGTCAGCGGTGTTCCAAAAAAGTTAAAAAACCAATCCATTGGACTTTGTTTCCAAGTTTGAAGACGTTTCTCTTCCCATCCAGGAAGTTTTTACAATTTAAAATGCCAGAAATAGTGTTGAGTTCCAGGTTTTATAAAGTGGACTGAAAACAAAGCCTTGTTTTTGCTCAGAAGGCTTTTGTTGGGCTGCTGGATAAAACCTGGAACTCGATGCTATTTCTGACATTTTAAATTGGAAAAAGCTTCCTGGATGGGAAGAGAAACGTCTTCAAACTTTGAACCGGACAAAATGTGTGTTAAAGCTTTACCTTCAGCCTCACTGCATCGGGACAATAAATCTAAAACATGTTTAAAGGCTTTATGTTCCACAGTTTAATGTTAAAGACACCTTGGTAACGATGAGTGTAGGAACTCTGAATACCCGCAGACACTTAGGAAAGCCCCTTCAGGTTCTGGGTTCGAGGTACGTTCACACGCCTGCAAGTCTCTGTTTTCCTGCAGAGCATCGACGAACGAATGCTAACGTACAGCTAATGCTGTGATTCACTTCTGTCTGTTTGGGCTTTGAGCTTAGCGCTGCACTCAGACAGCGTTTAATAATAAATAAATAGGATCGTTAATATTTTAGATGGTTTTAAAGTTTGGCTCAGAACAATGAAACATGAAGGGTGTGTGTGGGTTTCTAAAGAGCAGAGGGGAACTGTTTAGGTCTGAAGGATTCACACCCTTTAACCAGCAGCCTCATGGAGGCAGTGGATGTTCTAGAGTTGATTTACTGCCAGAGGGGCAAAAACTACGGAGTATTGGAGAATAAAGTCATAAAATTCCAAGAATAAAGTTGTATTTTATGACAACTCTTCCTAGAAGCTCTTTCTTCCCTAAAATGAGGAATGTGGATCTTTTAGCAGCAGCATCAAACTGGGTGGATTACAAAGTGGACTCTGGTTGCTGATTGGTGGAGCTGGTCGTCCGTCATCTGCTGGGCGGAGCTCCAAGCTTTCTTTCTAAACGGGTTCTTGTATGATGAATTTATCCTTGTAATATTACAACTATATAGTCTAGCCTGGCCCTAATAATTCCTTCATAAAAACAGAGGAAGAACGCATGTTTTAGTTTAATAAGGAGCAACATGCCGGTAATTTCTATAATGTTTAAACTATTGTTCAAATAAATTTTAAAGTTAAACTCTGAATCAGCAAATTTAATAAAAACCAGATTTAATATTACACTGCAAACTGATCTAAATAAGTAACATTCAGTTTATTTGCCCTTAATTTGCGTCGATAACTGAGATGATCTGAAAAAGGAGGATTTTGGCTCCAAAACAAGATAATTAGATAATTTACACTTGATATAAGATCTTCCCTTCCTGATTAAAAAAAGGGAATAGACACATATTTAAAGAAAACTGACTTAAATTATATATATATATTTTTTTAGAAGTTTATGCTTTCAGCACAGGGGCGACAACAGACCATAGGGGCACTGGCCCCTGCAGGCCCACCCCTACAGCCACCCATGCAGGACAAAGAACACACTAGTTATGGTTGAACCCCAAATTATTAATGACTAACAATAAATGTCTCTCTGTGCAAAACAGGGAGAGAATCATCCTCAGAAGGCTGCCATCATTTTCTGATTTAAAATTTAGAAAAATGATCAAAAGTTTGTATTTTCTGCTTCCAGTTTATAACGAGGCTCGACTTTACGCCAGACTCTGAGTCGGTGGGTGTTCTAGGTGTTAGTTATCGGTAGAAGGACTGATCTGACTCCTGCAGACGGTCTCTTTCAGCCTGTTTAATGCACCCAGAGCATTCATGCAGCTTCTGCTCCAGCTGCTCGTTTTAAGGCGGACCAAACTCTAAACAGTGCGAAGAAGATGCTGCTTGTAGACATGAACTAGATGCCTGATCTGTGATGGAAAGAGATCCTCCTGGGGAATCTGATCTCCATCAGCATCTTCAGATGAAGCTGGGATGAAACGCGGCTTCCTGGAAGCTGCCGTGGGTTCGTCTCATCCGCTGATCAGCCTCCCCAGGCCTCTGTGCACCTCGGCCTGTATGGGGCCGTAGTCCACCACTTCTCCGTCCACTGTTATCACCCCTTTGCCTGAGCCGGGCTCCAGCCTGAGCGCCCTCACCTTCACATGAACCAGCTGCTGGCAGTTTGTATCCAGATGTGCGCCCTTCTCCATAGCTAGGAAGAGTCGGAGCAGCGCTTTGCGGGATATTCCAGCTGTGACGTAGAAGAGATGAATGACGCCGTCGTCCAGGCGGGCGTCGGGCGCGGCCAGAAGGTCCTCAGCCAGGTGGGACTGGAACATGGCCAGCATGAGGACAAAGTCTTCCTGTGGGACCAGCACCCAGTCAGACGGCAGCGGCTGATCCAGAGGCGGCAGCAGGCTGTCGGGCGGGCCGTGGACGTCTTTGGGGGCACTTTGGGGACACCTGCCCTCCGACCTCCTCAGCTTCAGAGAGTTGTTGGAGTGGCAGGTGTTGGGGAAAGAGTCTTCCAGTGGCCTGGGGGCAGAGGACGGTGTCGAGCACGCCGCCGCGCCGTTCTGCAACCCTTTGTCCGTACTGCTCCCCCTGCTGGCGGGAAGGTAGGCCAGCCTGCCCTTGTAGATGCGGAGCGACGCCAGCCTCACCAGCGTGCCGACGGTGAACCGGGCGGCTCCGGCGTGCCGATACTTTTCGCTCTCGACGTCGACATCCGCCACGAAGCCCCAGGCCAGGGAGAGGAAGGAGAAGAGCCGCTGGTTGGAGGACAGATGGAGGGAGACCAGGTCCATGTGAGACACCTGTCCTTTACAGAGCAGGAAGCCGCAGCTGACCAGGAGCTCCTCGCTGGTGACCTGAGATACTCTGAGGGAGAGAAGAGAAAACTTATAGCAGCTCACAGTCTACTTTAATCTGATAAGTTACTACATTTGGTTTATTGGCCCCAGAATAGGAGGAAAAAAGGTTGAAATCAATCTGTTTGGCGCCCCCTCAAGTTAAAGGGGGGTTACTGCATCCAATGTTTGCAATTGGCTTTGCTGGGAATCTGCTGCTCTCTGCTGCCCCCTCCAGGACATGGAGGTTCCCTTAAGGCTGATTTATACTCAGAAACCAGGTCGTCTGCATGTGTCGCAGTGAACTCAGATATGCAAAGCCTTACCGGCTTGTTTTGTTTGTATGACCGCCATTGAGGAAAACAACTTGTGAAGATGGACCCGCTAGAAGGCGAGGTGCGCAAGAACGCTGGGACCCTTTTTCCCGCTCTTTTTGGCCCTCATGTCTCTCCATTGTCGCACAAACTTGCTCCCATTTCCTCACCGCCTCGGCCGTATCTAGACCCACAGCCTCTTTCGTTGTGGCGTGGAATAACGTAGCGCAGACCATGCTTGAAAATTGGGCACTGCGTCATTCTGCTGCGGGACGATGACCAGCCCTTTAGGGACCAACAACACCTTAAATAATTTTTTTATGGAAAAAGAAAATAAATAATGATTTCCTTCATTCCAGGGAATGGGCTTTGAGATAGTGGACTCTAATAGGTGTTCATCTGAATAACAAACTGGACTCGCAACGAACCCGTCCGTGGAGGATCAGGAATCAGAAAGGTGGAATAACTCTTTTTTTC